CCCTTTCGTGGACGGCATCATGGAGACGCCGCTCCCTCACTGATGGAAACCTCTCCACCTCGACCGTTACGATGGCACGACGGACCCGGATGAGCACATCGACCTGTATACAATTTTTTTTTTTTTTTTTTTTTTTTTTTTACAATGTTACACATATTATTGATATAAAATTTAAATTTGATTAAACAATCAAATCTAACATTTGTTTGAATAATTGTATACAACTTCTTAACATAAAAAATATCTCATTAACGTTTATTATTTGAGTTTAATTAGATCCAATGAAATATCATTATCAATATAACTTTTTTTTTTTAATTATAAATAAAAATTTGTAAATAGATAATTATACATTTTTTACCACATCATGTCATTGTCATACCTATATTCATTTTTCTAAATGTCAAATAATTCATGGTGCCCACACATGTTTCCCTATTTATGCTAAAAATAGTTGTAGGAATATAAATTTTCAGAAACAAAGATTATAGAGAAAAAACAATGGAATAATCTCTGAATCCAGGTGTCAAAGTGGTAAAAGTCCACGTAGGAGACAGAATCCAGCATGTCATGGTGCAGCAAGAAATGTGACACCATGATTGGCCAAGACCACATCCAACTTATCCAAGTGGAAAAAAACCAGATAAGGCACTCACTCAGAATCACACACACACCAATCACCACTTATATCCACAAAACTAAGTAAATATTATATTTCAGGGTTCTCTTTCAGCACCATTATTGTCACATTTCAAGGATCAAGAGAATGGCTCAGGCAATGGCATCGATGGCTGGCTTGCGTGGTTCCTCACAGGCTGTGTTGGAAGGGAGCCTTCAAGTGAGTGGCTCCACACGCTTGAATGTGGGGGGTGGAAGCAGGGTGGCACGTGCGGGGTTCACAGTTAGAGCACAACAACAACAACAAGGGAATAATAATGGTGGTGGTGATGCTCAGAGTAGCCGCAGGACAGTGCTTTCCCTTGTTGCTGCTGGTTTGGCCACTGGCTCTTTTGTTCAAGCTGTGCTTGCTGATGCCAAATCCATCAAAGTTGGACCCCCTCCCCCACCTTCTGGTGGATTGCGTATGTCTCTTCAAGCTCTTCTCAACAAATATTAGTTTTTATTTTATTTTATTTAATTAGAATGTATTTTTACAAAGAAAGTCTGAGATGGTTGGTAGATAATCTTGTTATGTGGTCCTTAACTTATGATTAGGAAATACCCTAATTTACCAACAAAATAATAATACATTACCAACAAAATGTGATATGATGAATAGATAATTTTGTCTATATATGTGGTCCGATGTTTTATTCATGATCTATGTGTATGAAGGTCAACTCCTTAAATGAATTTCAGTACTAATTACTCCTTAACTTTTGGTTAGGAGATACAATAGTTTACTAAAAGTGCTAGAATGTGTTTTACATTGTCATCTAATTTTAGATTGTTGCATAGTATAAATTTATTAATTTTATAATAATTATTTTAAAGTCACATCTTTTTTTAATGCTTCTCTTAAAAATCAGATCTAATTTTGATTGATTGATAGTATAAAATTTTGTATTGTAATAATGCATTTTTTATACAATTTCTTTGTAGAAATTAAAGAAACGGTTAAGTTGAACTTTTTTTCATTAAATTGAATAGTTAAGATTAACTCTCTTTTGCCTTTTGTCTTTCAGTTGATGTACATCATATATGTGTGTGCAATGACCATAACTTGTCTAACTTGTCTAGTGGAATCATTAATGGGTCATGGGTGTTGGATTTGAATGATGAGAGATGAAAAATGGAAATGAGGTGGAATTGAGATTGATTTAACAACTTTCATTTATGAAAACTGGGTTAGAGGCAAAGACAGGAAACCGAAAAAGAAAAGTCAGAAATGGGGTTCTGTGACATCATGTGACATTCTAGTACAGCAGGTTTTGAACAGAAAATAGGTCTGAGAGATGAAAAAGAGAAATGGGGTAGAAAAGTTTAGACAAGTAGAATTGTGTTTGATTTTAGTATATTTCATTCACAATAAAGGGTTTAGAGGCAAATACAAGGAAAATAAGTTGTTATTACTATTAGGGCCATAAAGAATGGAGTTTGGAGGTAATTATAACCATGATTTGTGTGTTATGGAATATGGCATGCAGCTGGAACATTGAACTCAGATGAACCAAGAGACCTTAACCTGCCACTGAAAGATAGGTTCTTCCTTCAACCGTTGACTCCAAGTGCGGCTGCACAAAGGGCAAAGGAATCAGCCAAGGAGATTGTTGCTGTTAAGAAGTTTATAGACAAGAAGGCCTGGCCCTATGTTCAGAATGATCTGCGTCTCAGGGCTGAGTATCTTCGGTTTGATCTCAACACTGTCATTGCTGCAAAGCCTAAGGATGAGAAGAAATCCCTCAAGGAACTCACTGGCAAGCTCTTCCAGGATATCAGCAATGTAAGTTCAAAATAGAAAACACATGCTAACCCAGAGAGATCATTTCTTATATCATGTATATTCCTAAAAATCTGTTTAATATTCTAATTTAGTATGTATAAATATATCAGATATCTTATGATATGACAAATAATTAAAGATATTTAGGGATATATAGAACATGATATGATAGATAATCTCATTATCGACAACAACACACTTTCTAACATAGTTTTTGTGCATGCTTTATTATCAATAGGAATTTATTGAAAATATCAAAATTTTGTGAATTTCTCTTCTTATTTAATGAGCTTCACTTATAATTTTGTAGTTTTCAATAGATAAATGATACTTATATGATAAAATTGTAAAAAAATTTGTGTAATATCATTTTTTTCTCTCTCTCTATCACATCATTTTTACATTTATTAATGATAAAGAGAGATAGACATAAAAAAATAATTTTGTACCAATGGTTATATGAGTTGTTGTACATCATTACTCTTTCTAACAATAGATAATTTGTTAAGAAAAGTGTGTTGCTCACATTACTCTTTAATCGTTATGCCATAGTTCTTTATCAATTTAGGATTGTGAGAGTTTAAAATTACTGATTAAAGTTAATTTTTGTTTTCTCTTTTGTTTCACAGCTGGATCATGCAGCAAAAATTAAGAGCAGCCCAGAAGCAGAGAAGTACTATGCTGTTGCTATATCTACTCTGAATGATGTCCTTGCCAAACTTGGTTAATGTGATTAATTTCTTGCTTTCTGTGTAATCTTTGTCCATGATTTTCTCAGACACTGTTTGACTGGTATTTTAAGAAATTCAATGAGGGAAAATTTTCTATAAATAAGCAGGAATATAACTTCAATTAAATTTAAATCAATGTCTAGATCACTTCCCTCCCCTGCCTATCCAAATCAGATAGGTAACTAAGGGTAATGTAATTGTAGAAGTTGGAAGTTTAATTATAATTTCATGAGCACAAAACAAGAGTATCTATAATAATGATAATACTAGAATATGATTCTGTTTTGATAAGTTATCTTTAAGAAAGAAAAGAAAAGAAAAACCATTTTTTAATAAGTTAAAATTAATTTATGTATGAATTAAAAATAAAATTTTAAAAAAATTGATAAAAGAGAACTTCTACAAAATAATTTATACATACGATAATTTTAACTCATACAGATGGAGAAATTTATCTATACAAACCCTTATTATATTAGCTCATAAGGTATCCTAATCTTATTTTTATTTGAAGGAACACAAGGTGCTCCATGAAGGATTACACGAAATTGGAGAAAAAGATCAATGGAAGTACATGAACAAAATAAATAAAACGAAGGATATAAAAAGTATATTGCTATAATGATGTTAAATTCATAGATTGCAGGAAAGACACTTATGGAGGAGGGAAAAAGATTTTCAGTAACTGCTGTGATAAAAAAAAAATATTCCTACAAAAAAAATTAGATTTTATATAAAGAGGGTACAATACAAGTGGTTATGTTTCAAATTAAGGGCACTTTAATATTCTTCATTTAAAGGCAATTTAGAATTTAAATATTCTAAACTATGAGATGGGGAAGTATGAATTAGACACTGTTTGCAAAATCTAAGTTTTTAGTGATTTTTTAAATTATGGTTTGTTTGAAATTTAAATAATTATGAATTAAAACAGTGTTTTTTTATTGTTCAATTTATGTATTTTTTTTTTTTGAAAGGAGGGGGGCAAAACTCTCACTCCCACCCCAAATACTTAAAATACTTAAAATCCATGAGGGCAAACAATCATACAAGCATTAACCCAAAAGGCAAACAAAATAAACGGAGGTATAACAAAATAAGTACATAAGATACACATGAAATCATCCATTCCTTAGTCAATAGCTACTTGGTTAGCTTCCATAGAACATGCAACCATCTGCAAGATGTAAATCTCTTAGCAACACAGTATGTTTGCCACCAAAGTCCAACACGCACTAGTGCAAAAATTGATTTAAAATCAGAGTTTTAAGATCGGTTATAAGGTAACCAATCTTAAAAGTGACGCAGTGGCAATTTTGTAAATAATCTGAACATTTTTAAGATCGGTTCAAATTTAACCGATCTTAAAAGTACTTTTAAGATTGGTTCTTTTGTAACCGATCTTAAAAGTGTCTGACATAACTTTTAAGATCAGTTACAAAAGTTGTATCAGACATAACTTTTAAGATCGGTTATAAAATAACCGATCTTAAAAGTACTTTTAAGATCGGTTATTTTATGACCGATCTTAAAAGTGTTACTTTTAAAATCGGTTATTTCAGAACCGATTTTAAAAGTGCTACTTTTAAAATTGGTTATTTCAGAATCGATTTTATATGTAGTATACAAAATCGGTTCTGAAATAACCGATTTTAAAAGTTTCGTCAAAAACCTTTTATATTTCCCTCCAATCTCATTCTCTTTAATCTTTCCCTCCATTCGTTTTTTAAATCTCTCTCTCGCGCGCTCTAATTTTCTAAAGAGGTAAATTTTTTTATCATTTTCGTTTTCGTTTTCCTCTTTTTGTATCTCTTTTCGTTTTCTCATGCAGTTCTATTGTCTTTATTTTCATTGTAGGTTCATTTTGGGTAAATTTTGAATCTGGAACGACCTGTTCTGCAAGGAGAACGACTCGTTCTCCTTTCAGTACGGGCCGTACTGCATGGAGAACGGTCCGTTCTCCTTTCAGCACGGGCCATACTACATGGAGCACGCCCCGTTCTTCAAGGAGAACGGCCTGTTCTCCTTGCAGTACGGCCCATACTGAAAGGAGAACGGGCTGTTCTGAGTTGCGTTCTTCAATTCGTGCATTTCACAATCTGGAATGGCCCGTTCCAGTTTTGGAACGGCCCGTTCCAGTTTAATTTTTTTTTCTTGACCAGCACTTTTAAGATCGGTTGTAAAACAACCGATCTTAAAAGTTTACTTTTAAAATCGGTTATTTAACCGATTTTAAAAGTCTAACTTTTAAAATCGGCTCTTTTAAAATCGGTTACGGAACCGATTTTAAAAGTAAAAAATAACTGATTTTAAAAATCTTTTTTCCAACGCATGTTCACGTCAACACCCATGTTGTATAATTATAAAACATCCAAGGAATCAGACTCAACGATGATATCTGACTAATCTGAGTAACCTAGGGTCTGCAACAACCAAAGCCCTTTTAAAACTCCTTACAACCTAGCTTCCAGCACCCCACATGTACCTAGGTAGGAAGAGATCGAAAGCATGAATAAATGCCCCTTGGTGGTTTTTGGTAACCCCACCACATCCAGCAATTGAGAGCCCCCTACTACAAAAAGGAAAGCAAAATTTAGATTGTCTAAGATTATTATGTGCCTATAATTTTACTCACTCACTGTATAACATGTATTTAATATCCATCGAATCACATCTTCAGCTTCTCTCATTTGAGGAACAATTTTAATCATAACTAAAGAGTTTGTCATTACCCTCTCATGATCAAACTTCCATATTAAACATCAAAATGTTGAAAATAAGTTTAATAGAACACAAATAAATATATAATTAAATTTATCAAAAATATAATAAATAGAGCAATCAATAATAGCAACTAACTAAATATTTCAACATTATAATAAATATTTCAAATATTAAAAATAGAACAATCAATAACAACTAATTAAATACAAAGAAGAAATTAAAATAATAAATAATAAGATTAAAGTAATATGAGTTGAAATATATAGTGTTATTTTTAAAGAGAAAACGTCTTTATTGCACTGACAATTTTGAGTCTTATAATGCATTTTTTTAAGATACGTTAACTCATTTAACTCTTCCAGTATGATAAAAGATCTCTAAACTAAAGAATATCACACTAAAAATTATATTTTATTAGTAAAAATAATTTTTAAAGAAGAAAGATAAATAGATTTTTGTGTATATAATTTCTTTTACTTAGGCACCTATATATAAATGCAGCAACATGTGATTTACCCACCACGACACATCGATCAATTTTTGGAAGGCATTCCTGCCACATTTATACCTCGCCCTCACTGTTCAAACTCACATAATATAGTTTTAAAATTTAGCTTGGACTGATCGGTTGAACTGATTTGATCAACTCATATATAATTGTTTTAAAACTCAACTTAGATCCACCGATCAAACTGGTCTGATTAAGACATGGAGGTATAATTGGTTTGAATTGATCTTCTGAGTATGATGTCATTAAATGGATGAAAACTGGTATAAACTTGCTCATGCGACCAACTTTTTTCGGGTTAAGCTTTTCTTTAAATGGGATGCGCTATTACAACTTCTGTGTTTTGAGATGCATGCTACTTATTTTACTCAATACCGTGCTGCAAGAGACGTGCTTCTACTGCCACTTCTGCACCTCGAGAGGTGTGTCACTCGAGATGGAAATGCATGGACATGCTAGGTATGGAGTTTCTCATAGTTTTTGTGAAATACTAGTACATTAAAAGGAGGTTAGCAAGATTCAACCACTGATGCTAGTGTTTTAAGAGAACAACCATTGCTCTATATCAATTTATATGCATATATATGACAAATATAATACATGACACTATAATATAAAATAAATTAGGGGAATTTATAAATAATAAAACTTGTTCTTGTAGGTAAAAAATTCAAATCAATTGTCTTACTATATGACATTCCATAATTAAATGCTACAAAAAGTTCAAAAATAAAAGATGATTGAGCATTTAAACAACCTTTACAAAATCTAAAGCAAAACTAGAAGTAAAACATAAAACTTTCAAAGGACATATTATCCTAATGAATTAAACACAAATTAACAACACAGAAACTATTCCTTTAGACCTTGGTGTCACACTAAACAAAAAAGTCCCATCAAAATAAAATTAAAGTCTAAACTTTGTTTGCTAAAGGCTAAAATGTGTCACCCTCTACCTCACATACCATAACACAAAAAACAAAAAATTGAATAACATAATTTTTTTCAAAATTGAAATACCAAGCATATTTAAATAGAGGGTACCACATCCATAACTTTAACAGTAGCTTAATCAGCGAAAATTACATAGAAAATATAATTTCTTCCTAAATAATTTAATAAAAACATTTTAATCTAAAATAATTTAACAGAAACATCATGATCTAATCCTATCTACGCCCCGATGTCACATGTCCTATTAGAGAAAATCCCAACATAGAAGCCTACGCTTCATCACCAACATCCTCAGTCTCATGCTGATAATCACCTGTATAATAGTCAAAGCAAAACAACACAAGAAAAAGGAGTGAGAAACATCTTACTCTAGCTCATAGTGTAGAAATATACGCCGGATAGCCAAACACAAACAAAATAGGTATGACATAGATAAATTAATAATAACATAACATCACACTCATCCAAGACATAAACCATCACTTTATCATATAACATTAAAAATGCATAAGTATGGACACGGACTACATATTATCATGCATGTGGCGCCAGTAAAACATCACATGGCATATTGCCGCTAGTAATACACGAAGAGTAGTCTAGGAGTACATGCCGGGTCACACCCTCTGCGCACTCTCACTAGAAGGATATACTACCAGAGTCTCGTCGAGATAGCTAAGCCGCGCAAGATACATCCCATGCACACAATGGGAGAGACTGAGACTTCCAAACCGAGCTATCCCCAAGGACTAATCCCCAAAGTTTTTACACTAGGGGGCCTTCTCTGGCGGTGTATTCCATATCGTACCCTTAAAAACATTTAGGCACATGATGCATGTCAATCAAGACTCTATGCATTCTCATATCACATTATTATCATCACATCTCATCATCACATTTCATCATCACATTCACATTATCACATTATATGCACAATTCTCACAGAGCGCTTTAATCCATATTAAAACTC